TTAGTTACAAGGAGAAAGTAGTAACTAAGTGAAGAAATCAAACAATACTTTAACCAGATAATCAAAATAGTATCACCAGCATTCTCCTTTTTGGTGTAGCTGAGTAAGCTATCAGACCTGCTTTCTTATAAATAACTATAAAGTATAAACTCTAGACAAAATTCATAAAATCACAGCCTTAAACACTTTGGAGCCAGGCATGGAGGCTGAGGCAGGAGGATCCTAAGTTCAAGGACAATATCAGCAGTTTAGCAAGACCCTGTCTTAAAATTTAAAATAAAAAAGACTAGGTTATAGCTCAGTGGTAAAGTATCCCTGGATTCAATCCCTAGTACCCAAAAATAAATAATAAAAAAAGATTAGTGAATATCCTAAAGCAGGTACATTTTGGAAGAAAGTAGAGTCAACACTTAGAACTAAGTTTACTGTTTTTACTACTTTTAACAGTGAGCATCCTGTGAGGCAGCTAAAATTCTAATAGAAAACTCAATCATTCTGGCCTACAGAACTAGAGGACAGAATTCAAGACAACCACAAGCACTGGAAAAAAAAAAGAGAGAATACTAGAAAGGTGAGAACCAAAGAAACTCATCCTCAAATTCTGTATACATAAACTGTTTAAGTTTCTGGCTGACCACTGAACCATTCTTACATGGGCAGACTCCCAGCAGCTGAGCTAAAGATCAAAGAACTAAACAGTTATTTGAACAGCTGCTCAAAAGACAGTATTTGCAGTTTGAGCCAAATCAGATTACTTAAAATGAAACAAAAATTCTTTAGAGGAATATAACAAAATCCAGAGTGTACATGAGATAATACTGACAGTGTTTGATCTACAATCCAAAATTAACACTACAAGTGCACAGCAGTTGTACATCCTGCTTTAGACTAATACCCTGAGAAGCCTCACCTATGTAGTATTCTATCTAAGAATATAGATTCAAAGAACACATCAGGGGGCTGGGGTTATGGCTCAATGATAGAGCACTTGCTTTGCAGGTGTGAGGCACTGGGTTCAATCCTCAGCATCACATAAAAATAAAGATATTGTGTCCATCTACAAATAAAAATATTTTTTAAAAAAACACATTCAGACAAATCTGAAAGAAGGGTTATTCTGTTACATACAAGAAAGGTACTAGGGCTGGGGTTGTGGCTCAGTGGTAGAGTGCTTGCCTAGCATGTGTGAGACCCTGGGTTAATTGTTAATAAATAAACGAATAAAATAGAGGTTCTTCAACACCTAAAATTTTTTTTTAAAAGTACAAGAAGAGTAATGTATTTTCTTGAAATGTATGTTCCAGAAATGTCAGTATCACATAAATGCAATATGTAATTCTAGACAGGATCCTTCCTGGAAAGGAAGAATGTCCTGAAAGACATTATTGAGCAACTGACAAAATTAGAATATGCAAGAGACTTTCTAAAAAGTATCAATGTTAAACTTGCTAAGGTTATATAAGATAATATCCTTCCTCTCTCAAAATAACACATTGAAGTATCTGGGGATAGAGGGTTATGGTATATGCAACTTTCTCTTAAGTGGTACAGAAAAGATTTTTGTATATGAGCAAACACAAAAGTAATAAATCAAGTGGTCAAGCTGAGAAAGGGTTCTATGGATATATATTAAATTACTCTCACAACTTTTCTGAAAGTTTGAAGTTAATTTTAAAATAAAGATTTTTAAAAGTCAAGGTGGAGCTGGGAATGTAGCTTAGTGGTAGAGTGAGTACATGCTTATTAGCATGCAAGAGGTCCTGACTTCAATCCCCAATATTAAGCAACATAAAACAAAAAGCACCTTTGGTCCAAAAAGGTTTTCAATCTTTTTGTTCTCACTATTCCTGTTTTTGCCATAGGCATATTTAAAAATAAAATATTAGCTGGATGCAGTGGCTCATGCCTATAATCCCAGTGACAGATGACTAAGGCAGGAGGATTGCAAGTTTGAGGCCAGCCTTGGCAACTTAGTGGGACCCTGTCTCAAAAAAAAAAAAAAAATGGCTAGAGACATGGCTCAGTGGTAAGGCATTATTGGATTCAATCCCCAAAATAATAATAATAAATTAAAAATAAAATATTGTCTTAAAAAGTTGATTTAGTTTAAAATGGTTTTATTCATGTGCTTTATTTCAAATAGCAAACGAAAAGTACCCACTGTTGGATGATGTCTACTCTGACTACATTACGTATTTGCCCACAATGGCCACTGTGGTGTTTTTCTTTTATTTCTTGACAGTTTCAATTTAAAATTGATAAGCCTAAGAGTGTAAGGCAAATGTGGTCTCTGTGATACAGATAAATACTTGCAACTTTTGTGTACCCAGTGCTGTGCCACATTCTGTGAGACATGTTAAAAAGAGAAAGAAGTAGAAAATATGTTCTTTATTAGTTACAGTCAATCTGGGGATGGAAAGACATATTTAAGTGAAAGTGGTCTTGGGTGTCTGAGTGGGGATACAGAAGAACCTCTGAAGTCACATGTGGATCTGGGCTGCGTAGACCCTTAGGTTGGAGCCAGAGGAAAGTTGCTTTGAGTTGTAACTAATCTTTTGTCCTTTCTTGAAGGAGGTGGTCTTAGAATTAGACTTGGAATGTGTCTATGTTTTGGGTTGACAAGAGTACATGTCCAGAATTAAGGGTGAGGCTGGGTGCGGTGGTGCATGCCTGTAATCCCAGCAGCTCAGGAGACTGAGGCTGGAGGAGGATCACAAGTTCAAAGCCAGCCTCAGCAACTTAGCAAGGGCCTCAGCAACCCAGTGAGGCCCTGTATCTAAATAAAATATAAAAAAGAACCGGGGATGTAGTTCAGTGATGAAGCACCCCTGGGTTCAGTCCCTTGTGCCAAAAAAAAGGGTGGGGGTAAGGAGATTTGGGGAAGGAGAATGAATGAGAACATTTTGTTAGAGGGTGTTAAAGACATTGGTTTAACTGGTCTGGAGTGAGAAATATGGTGGCATTGGTTGGTAAATGGCTTAAGAGCCTACCTAATAGAGCACTTCAGACAGCTTTTGAAAAACAGTAGATTCTTAGAGTATGTGGCACAGTGATGGTGACAGTTGCAGTGATTGGGCGGGCCACATAGAAGAAGACACCTCAGAGCTGATCTGTCCCAAAGAGTTCAGAACAGCCAAGACTCGTCTAAATTCATTTGCTTCTGGAGCATCAAAAGCAACAGAATGAAGGCTGCGGCTGTAGCTCAATGGCAGAGTGCTTGCCTAAGCATACTTGAGGCACTGGATTCGATCCTCAGCACCACATAAAAATAAACAAATAAAATAAAGGCATTCTGTCCATCTACAACTACAAATAAATTAAAAAAAAAAAAACGAGAGTGCAGAGGGTGAGTAGGTACTCTGAGGAGTCTTCACGAAAACTTTACATTACACTTCCTGTCTCAGTAATTTCAAAAACAGAAAGACCAATGCCAGTGTCTGTAGCTTGCTGCTCCAGAAAAAGCTGTATAAGTTTTGAGTTGGTTTGTTTGGCCAACTTTTGTCCAGAGACTGCTACGGAGTCCAAGGCTCTTATCCCAAGCCTGGAGGGGCAATTTGAAGATGAGGAACTGGAGCAGATTCTTGAAGATATCCAGACAAAGCACAGTTTTCAATATTAGTCTCCTAACTTCACCTAGCTTCTCAGGGTGAAGCACACCAGCACATCATCCTCCCAGGGGCTGAGTCTGCCTTGCACAGAAACTCGATTGCAAAAGACATCTGGGCTTCCTTGGAGTGGACAGCCCATCTTGGTGTGGGTTTAGGTGGCTTTTTCACATGTGACTGTTAGACCATAATGACCATGTAAATCTGGAGCAGCCTTGCAGTGACTCCCTAAGCATGCTGCTGGGAAAGATGAGGTGGGGTGTTATATAAGCCACTCTGTTGACTATCTCATACTGTGGTTTTGGGACCCCACATTATTTTTAATTAGTAACATTTCATATTTTAATTTCAATGCGTTTGTAGTTTTTGAAACCAAAGTAGAACATAGAAAACTTGAATAGGGAAAGAATAGTCTTACCTAGATGCAAAAGGAAGAATTAAGCCAGATCAGTGTCTTTGTTTTAAATTATTAAAGAAAGGGTGGAGAGTGCTAATAACTGTGAGAGAGCCTTGGCATCCTTGTGCTTAACCCAGGAGACAGGGAGGAAGCATGCCATGGGAAGCAGTTACATCTGGGTATGACTGTGCTGTGCGGTGCACCCTTTAGCATGGAGATGTCAATAATTTGCCTTTTTTGTCCTTGAGCTGTTTTGCAGAATATGGATATGTAGCAGCCCCAAAACACTCATTTTGTCACATTCAAATTAAGATTTTTTTTTTTTTTTTAACCTGGACATGGTGACACACACTTGTAGTTCCAGCCACTTGGGAGGCAGAGGCAGGAGGACCACTTGAATGCAGGAGTTTGAGACCAGCCTAAGCAATATAGTAAGACCTTGTCTCAAGAGAAATTGGGGGACTAGGGATATAGCTCAGTGGTAGAGTACTCACTAACATGTGAAAAGCCCTGATTCCAGCCCCCAGCACAGCAAAAATAATATTTTCTTTCACAGAGTTCAGAGGTTGGAATGCTTTCAGAGTCGTCTTTTATGGGGCATCCAGTCTAAACCTCTGGCTTGCTACTTGGCAACAGGTGTTCTGTGATGGGGTTGATTTGGAATGAAGGAGTCTGACCCTTCCTGAGCCACTGCAGTGAAGTCACCCAACCTAAGGATAGGTAGAGAACAGTTTAATATTTTCACATTTAGCTGATCTTTCCGAAGGGAAATATTCTTGTTTTCTTCACAATTTTTTTTTGTTCTTTCTGATACTTTGTATATGAATTCATGATCCAAAGAACAAGTTGGGGAAATAACAAAGTTGGTTCTAAAAGTCAAGATAGTTTTGCCAGGTGAGGTGGTGCATGCCTGTTATCCCAATGACTCAGGAGGCTAGGGTAAGAGAATCACAAAATCAAGGACAGCCTTAGCAACTTGGTGAGACCCTACCTCAATTTTTTTTCTTTTTTAAGTGAGAATGCCTAGCATGTAGGAGGCTCTTCTTTCAATTCCCAATACTACAGAAATAACAACAGAAACCCCTACTGAAGCCCATGGGAAATATGGGTGGTATAAGATTTTTTTTTTCAATTTTTACCCAACTATTGACATGTGGGATGTGGCGGAGACATGGGTGGAAACTCTTCTGCAGGAGTTTAGAGTTTTGGCTGAGGAGAGAGTGATTGAGAAAAGCCTAAAAGGACTAGAAACCTATGAAGTGAAGAAGTGGAGGAGAGACATTCTGGTTCTGTGGTGCTGCAGACCAAACTCAGGCATCTGTTCTACCACTAGGCTCTACCCCTGGCCCCTATAGTTATTTTAAAAAGCTCTCTATAAAACAAACAATTTCAATAAATAAAACACTATAAAAAATAAACAATTTCACCTTTGCTATAAAAGTTAAAACCCAGCATGTTCTTAAATAATTAATGGACACAATATTTTCAAAAGATGATTCTGAAATAAATGTTTGAGATAAATTTGATGAGGGGAAAATGAAAGGAAGGGAAAACCAGTGGGAGCCTATTGCATATGTAGGTTTGAAAATTTAGGTTAGGGTAGTGATAATAAAATAGAGCAAATGTGACGATGTAATAGTGAAGATAAAGTTGTAGAAGGCCCGGGAAGATGAAGTGGTAAACAATGACAGTTAGATGGTTGTGCAAAGAAGCCATCAGAGGTCACAGAGCGCTTTCCATGGAGTGGTGGAGGTTTAAAGGAGTGTGAAGAAGTTTGGGCAGTTGGGGGAAACCTCCAGGTGTTTGAAACAGGAAGAAAGAAGACAGTTGTAAGGACTATAACTTATGACTTCAAAAGCTTTCAAAAAAATTCATCCACCCCCAGACTAGTGTTTGGGTAGTTTCTGTCTCTCATTATTTAATGTTGTCCTTCTCATTTTCACTACAGATCCAGAAACAGGAAGGCCTAGCAGTTCCAAAATCACCACCACACTTGGTCTGGTCGTCCATGCTGCAGGTAGGGTTGGACTGCAGTGGGACCTCTCTCCTTCCTGTTTCAGGGGAAGCCTTAGTGTTTACTGGGCCCATCTGTACTCAGTGCTCTTGGGCTGGCCTTCAGGGATGGGGTTGCTTAATGAAGTCCTCCAGCACAAGTATGAGCCCTGGTCTATCCTGTGTTGGTTTTGCAAGCTAAGAATGATTTCTCAAATGTTTTTTAATGGTTAAAAAGGAAAGAATACTTCATAGAATATGAAAATTATATAATTCAAATTAATAAAGTTGTATTAGAACACAGCCGTGCCTTCATGTTTATGTATTTTCTGTGGCAATTTTTGCACAGCGCTAACAGGGTTGAGTAGTTACAAGAAACCAGATGACTGGCAAAGCCTAAGACATTTATTCTCTGGCCCTTTTTGAAGTTTGCTGACCTCTGCCTTAGGATCTTTTCTGGAAAAGAGCCTTGACACTATTGTGCTGAGTAACCCTGCTGCCCAGCGTATATCCAAAGTGCCAGTGTAGGCAGAGGTGGTAGGTGGCATGCAGAAGTCACAGCATTGCTACTGGGCACACTTCAGAACCATAACCCAAACCTAGCCCTAGTGGTAGGATTCTGTCAACAACAAATACAGAAATGTGAAAATATCTAAGCGTTTCTGGTATGACATACTTTTCCAACAAAATTCATCCACTAGCCAATATACCCATGTTTAAATCATCTAGGTCAAGTTTGAAGGTCTTTATCTATAAGATGAAGAGATGCATCCTTTGAAATTCTTCTTGCATTTTTGTTATTGCAGTTAACAGATATTTGAATACTCTGGACCCAAAGTTAAGCTTTGTACATATATTCACTCATTTAATTTTGTGAAAATCCCAAGAAATACATGCTTTATTGAACCCATTTTTAAAGATGAGAAGGTTAAAGAAAGGTTAGGTAATCTTCCTAGAGTCAAATCCATGACTAAAGCCCACATACTCAGCCTCTAGCTGTTATTGATGTTTTTTATAGCATTTTATGTTTCATTGTTTCCAAATTTAGCTGATGGTGTTGCTTTGGGAGCAGCAGCTTCTACTTCACAGACTAGTGTCCAGTTAATTGTGTTTGTGGCAATAATGCTACATAAGGTAAGCCAAGATTTGATTTTGAATATATGCATAGTTAAAATTTCTCTTGGTCTTTAATGTTTTGTTGAAGTGGGGAAATGTTTTTTAGTTAGTTTCCTAACTTCAAAATTCTTTTTTAGTTTCCTAACTAAAATATTTTTTGAGCTAGTTTCATTTTGGAGAATTGAATAAATCTATTTAAACCTATTTTTTTGACCATTTTTTAAAAAGTCTTATAGGGTTTTATGTTTTTGTGACCATATACATAAACTATTAAATTCTCTATAGATCTCTATATTTAATAGAATTTTTAAATTTTTTAATATATATTTTTAGTTGTTGATAAACCTTTAATTTTTTTTAGTTGCTAATAGACCTTTATTTCATTTATTTATATGTAGTGCTGATAATCAAACCCAGTGCCTCATACATGACAGGCAACTGTGCTACCACTGAGCCACAGGCCCAGCCCCAGACCTTTATTTTTATTCATTTGTTATATGTGGTACTGAGAATCCAACCCAGTGCCTCACATATACTAGTCAAGCACTCTACCACTGAACCACAACCCTAGCCCATATTTCATAGAATTCTGTTCGGTTTTTTTTTGTTGTTGTTGTTGTTTTGTTTTTGTTTTTGTTTTTTGTAGAATCTTTTCTTAGCTTAGAATGTTAATTCCTAAAAGGCAAAGCTCAGGTACTCTGCCCAAGCTTTTGGTAAGAGACTTCCTAGACGATGGCAATGTACTTTTTTTTTTTTAATACACCAAGGATTGAACCGTATATACTGAGCTTTACCCCTGAGCTGCATCCCCAGCCCTTTTTATTTTTTGAGACAGGGATCTTCTCTAAACTGCTAAGGGTCTGATTAAGTTGCTGAGACTGGTCTTGAAATTGCAATCCTCCTGCCTCAGAGTCCTGAGAGACTGGGATTACAGGCTTGAACCACCACCTCACTCCTCTGTGGGTTTTGTTTTATTTTGTTTTGTTTTGTTTTGTTTTGTTTTTGTGTGTGTGTGTGTGTGTGTTTCACAGCTTTTTTATTTTTTATGTTGAAACAAGATATCACTAAATTGCTTAGAGCCTCACTAATTGCTAAAGTTGGTCTTGAACTTGCAATCCTCCTGCCTCAGCCTTCTGAGTAGCTGGGGTTATAGGCATGTGCCACTGTGCCCAGCTGGCATGTACTCTTTGATGGAGAAGCAATCCACATTTCCAGAATGATGATAAGGGATAATTTTTCATTTCTAGGCACCAGCAGCTTTTGGACTGGTTTCCTTCTTAATGCATGCTGGTCTGGAACGGAATCGAATCAGAAAGCACTTGCTGGTCTTTGCACTGGCAGCACCAGTTATGTCCATGGTGACATACTTAGGCCTAAGCAAGGTAAGTTTGACCATTCCTAGATTTTTCTAGACAAGTGTCTGGTTCCCTTATGATCTACTAGAAACTTATGGTCTCTTATGTCAAAATTTTCAAATAATTACCTTCTTTAACTAAAGATAAAAATTAGGAATAAAAACCTATATAAGGTAAAGTGTCTTAATTCCAAGTCAGTCCTCTTTTTAAGTTCAACATTTCCTTATTGGTTCACTTTGAAGACATCTTTTGTAAGTTCTAAGAATATTTACACAGATATATGAAAGAACTTCAAGACTATGGCCATAGCAAGATGGCTATAGTCAACAAACACTCAGATTCTTCTACTCCTGCTCTCAGATCACTCAATAGTAAATATCTAGTCCTTTCTCATTCAGACCTGCAGTGACCTATGTCATTTGTCAGCTCAGAGTCTAGATACCCTTCCATTTCCAAGCTGCACCTTTCTGTGCCTCATAATTCTGTCTACTTGGGCTACAGTTCTTAGCATCAACCCTCCCTGCTTCACCAAAATAATATAACTTGGGGCTGAGGTTGTGGCTCAGCGATAGAGTGCTTGCCGGGCATGTGCAAGACACTGGGTTCGATCCTCAGCACCACATAAAAATAAAAACAAATAAAAATAAAGGTAAAACAATAAATAATATAACTTAACCAGCCATACCTATTTTATTTTTAGAAGTACAGTAAGTCACAACCATCCACAATGAATGTTGAAGTACCTCAATGAATGTTGAGGTTGGCACATTACATTAAGATGGAACCAAGACTAGTTTCTTCAGGGCAGGGGATTTAATCATTTTGTAAAAATGTTTTATATGACACATAAGCCAGCATGCCTGTGATCTCTATTTCTTTTTCTTTCTTTCTTTCTTTTTTTTTTAATTTCTTTTTCACTTCTTTCCTAGATTTGTCACTGGGTTAGCAGCCATGGAATTAAACTTGTGAGCCTTCTGCTGGCTTCAGTGAAGAAAGTAGCCTACGTAGGATAGGGTTTTGTATAGTGGCTGGCAGCCATTGCATACAGTGTTAAAATTTGGGAGCGGGTAGAGTAGGGAAGGGCTGGAGGACTCTCCCGAAGAGATATGATAGCAGCTGGCTTTGGAGAGGTCCAGGGTCCCATCTGGTCCTTCCAAAGTATGGCTGCTGTGATTCTCTTGGAAAAATCAGAGATCAAACAAATAGTAGATTGCTGTGTCTGATTTGGATGGAAATAATTTCTGTCATATCATTGTGTGACAAGCTATGTGGCAGTCCTTAAAAGAGCAGAGGGTGAGCAAGTTGGCTATAGTCAGCAAACACTCAGATTCTTCTACTCCTGCTCTCAGATCACTCAATAGTAAATAGCTAGTCCTTTCTCATTCAGACCTGCAGTGACCTATGTCATTTGTCAGCTCAGAGTCTGGACACCCTTCCATTTCCAAGCTGTACCTTTCTGTGCCTCATAATTCTTTCTAGTTGGGCTACAGTTCTTAGCAACAACCCTCCCTGCTTCACCCAAATGTCAACCGGCAGGCTACAGGTGAAAATCTCAGAACTAAACTGGGCCAGGACTTGTTCAGGGAAACTGCTTTTCTCCATGCCCTCTCTGAAGGTCATTGATTCTGTATTTAATATATTAAAACCTGTATTAAAAGGAACATGAAAAATGAGATGGTTAAAAAATGGTTAAGTTTCTGTTCATTAAGGGTTTATTGATCTCAGTTGCTAACAAATGAGTCATTATTAAACTTCTTTCCATTCACCTGAAGAACCTTATTTTTTTAGCCAATGAACAATACATAGTTCCTTTAATTATATTTTATTTGTTATAATTATTATTGTTATTATTATTGGTTGGTAATTGGGAATTGGACCAGGGACACTCTACTATTAAGCTACATCCCCAGTTCTTTTTCTTTTTTATTTTGAGGGAAGGTCTAACTAAGTGCCCAAACTGGCCTTGAACTTGTGATATTCATGCCTCAGCCTTCTGAACTGATGGGATTATAGGCATGTGATGTGTCTAGCTACATGGTTCCTTCTAAAATATGACTATCACTTCATCGATCAATATAAGCTCTGAACTTTTTATAAGAAGGTACTGATAATTCTGAAGGGATGGAGTTAAATGCTGAATCTGTGGCAGGTTCTTTTCTTACAATTTTAATTAATCATTTTTAACCTATAGGTCCTTTTTCATAGAAAAGGTTGAAATCAGTTATATGAAGTTAGGTAAATGAGACCATTCTAAGCTGGATGAAGGTGTCTCCTGCATCTTAATGGCCACTTTATCTCAAGCACCTGGCCCAGAGCCTGAAACACAGAGAATACTTGTTAAATATTAGTAGAATGAACAAATAATAATAATAATAAAAATATTAATAAAATGAACAAATGTCTGAAACTTAATATCTACATTAACTTCTTGTTGGTTCTGTCTCAAGAATAATGCAGGCAAAACCTGTAATCAGCATTTGATGTTTGTTTTGAAAAGCATTCATAGTGAATTTAGCTAATAATAGTATACTTCCATAATCACTAGTAAATTTCAAGTATTCTCACTGCAAAAAAAGTATTTTTGAGGGCTGAGATTGTGGCTCAGTGGTAGAGCGCTTGCCTAGCATATGTGAGGCACTGGCTTCAAGTCTCAGCACCACATAAAAATAAATAAAATACAGGCATTGTGTCTGTCTACAACTAAAAAAAAAATATTTAAAAAAATTTTTTAAAGTATTTGAGGTAATGGATATGATAATCAGCTTGATTTAAGTTTTCCACATTGTACTCATAAATCCTAACATTACTTTGTATCTTGTAAATATTTATAATTATAAATTGTCGGGCTGAGGTTGTGGCTCAGTGGTAGAACACTAGCCTTGCATGCATGAGGCACTGGGTTTGATCCTCAGCACCACATAAATATAAAATAAAGATATTGTGTCCATCTGAAACTAAAAAAACAAATATTTTAAAAAAATAAAATGTGAATTTATAATAAATTTTTTAAAATAATTATTTACTGGGCTGGGGATGTGGCTCAAGCAGTAGTGCACTTGCCTGCATGCGTGGAGCGCTGGGTTCGATCCTCAGCACGACATAAAAATAAAATAAAGATCTTGTGTCCACCGAAAACTAAAAAATAAATATTATTAAAAAAATTATTATTATTTACACCATTGATCTTACTATTACTAAACCCTATTTGGAAGCTCCTTATAAATGAAATAGAGTTACTTTGCTCTCAAGATGTTCCCAGTGTCCTAGGAGCACCAGACATGAATTTTGAATGTTTTTTAATTGGGACGTTTTCCTGACTCTGAATTTTACTTAATTTTGCCTCTCTGTTTTAATTCACAGAGCAGTAAAGAAGCCCTTTCAGAGGTCAATGCCACCGGAGTGGCCATGCTTTTCTCTGCTGGGACATTTCTTTATGTTGCCACAGTACACGTCCTTCCTGAGGTGGGCGGAATGGGGCATAGCCACAAGCCTGATGCCACTGGAGGGAGAGGCCTCAGCCGCCTGGAGGTGGCAGCCTTGGTTCTGGGTTGCATCATCCCACTCATCCTGTCAGTAGGACACCAGCATTAAATGTTCAGGTTCCAGCCTCAGTCAGCGGCCATTTGCCATCCAGTGAGATCAGAGGGAACATGACAGCTACTCACTTCCTCAGTCTCTTGTCTCGCCTTGCCCATCTCCACCTGTGTTCCTAGAGTCCGGAGGGAGGTGAGATTCCATCCTGGGGTAATGGAAAAGCTTTTAAAGTAGGAACAACACATTGTGGATAGGTATAGACTTGTGTTGTGTTTTAAAGGGCCCTTGGCATATTGAGTTTTGATGTTTCTCTTAACCCTATTCTCAGGGAAGATGAAATTTAGTTTTAAGGAAAAGTGGAGAACTTCATACTCATAATGAAATAGTAATTATGAGAACACAGTGTTCTGTAATTAAGCTTAATCTCTTAGTTAGAGGCTCTGCCACTTTACCCCTTGATTTTTCACATGGTTTTCACCGTGTACGAATGGTGCTTTAGCATCTATGCCACATGCCTTGATAGGAGCTCATAGCACCCACTGTCTTAGATGCTAAAGGTGATTGTAGTTAATTTGAGATTGGAGTAAGGAAGGTAAGGGCAAAACACATTGAAAGCTGACCTTATCCTAGAAAGAGATAATCTTTGAGAGGGTACTTCTAGAGCGACTTAAACACCTCCTTTGCACGTGCCTCTAAATACAGCCTACCATTCCATCCAGTGGAGCTGCAGAGGTGAGACTAGCTTTTTAAGGGTGACTGGTATTTTGTAGCATTTTGAAGTTTCTTTTGCAGAATATCTGTCTCCAGCACATTCCTATAGAGAGGTGAAGTTCTAGTAAGTTCAGGCATAGCCTGTCCTTCAAGAACAGTCTGATCACAAAGGATTTTTGGAAATTAAGAGATGCTACATTTTAAGTGAATTTGAATAATTGTTGACATCTTTGTAATGAACTTTTGAAAAATAAGACTACCAAAATCTGTATTGTCCTTTCTTTCTTTCTTTAAGTATTTCTTTTAGCAGGTCAGCAGTCCCTCTGGCTAAGCCTTTATCCAGCGTGGAGAGCGGTCTGTCTGCTCACATAAGCACCTGTAGCTTGAAGAAAGTCTAGCTGACTCATGAGTGGGAAGTGTCTGCCTGTTGGTTTAAAGCTTATTGAAATCATGTCTCTTGTGTCTTCATCTTTCCCGTGCTTTTCTCCTAACTTTTTCCTCCAGACCCTCCTCCCCACAGTTTGCTGCTTACTGCTGGTGGCGATGTTAATACTTGTGTGAAATGAGTTCTCATCAGGACAACCACTTCTTGAACTGTGATGATGAAGATAATATTGTCTCTATTTTTAATTCCCTTCAAAGATGTTACCTTTGTGTCAAATGCAGCTTTGTTAAACCTCAAAATAGCACTTCCTTATGTGAATTGACACAATCACTAATATTCTGATAATTTAAACAACTGAAATGACGCAAAGTGTTTAACAAACTAAGGTTATTTTCCATATTTGCCAAAATCTGCATAAACCGCTTTGTCAAATGAGTGTATAATACTGTATTATTAATTTATTTTGATTTTCTGTACCATTTCAAAATATTACATTAAGACGGAACCAAGACTAGTTTCTTCAGGGCAGGGTATTTAATCATTTTGTAAAAATGTTTTATATGACACATAAGCCAGCATGCCTGTGATCTTTTTTCTCTTTCTTTCTTTCTTTCTTTTTTATTTCTTTCCTAGATTTGTCACTGAGTCAGCAGCCATGGAATTAAACTTGTAAGCCCTCTGCTGGCTTCAGTGAAGAAAGTAGCCTGTGTAGGATAGGGTTTTGTGTAGTGGCTGGCAGCCATTACATACAGTGTTAAAATCTGGGAGCGGGTAGACTAGGGAAGGGCTGGAGGACTCTCCCAAAGAGATATGATAGCAGCTGGCTTGGGAAAGGCCCAGGGTCTCATCTGGTCCTTCCAAAGTATGGCTGCTGTGATTTTCTCTAGAAAATTAGAGATCAAATAAATAGTAGATTCCTGTGTCTGATTTGGATGGAAATGATTCCTATCATATTGTGTGCAGTGGTCCGAAACTTGTTCTGCTGGCCAAAGCCTTTCAGCAGTGCCTTGCCATCATGCTTGAAAGTTTGGCTAGACTATCTTGCTCGATAGGGCCTTGAACTATGGCAAAGGTTGAACCATTGAACTTCCAGATTTGCCTTCCCCTCTGGATCTCCACATTAACAAGCTCTCAGAAGCCGTGAGCTTTCCCAGATCCTAAAGCTGCTGCCTCAGGAACTACTCATTTCTCTCCTGGGCAGCAGGCAAAAATAGCCATATGAATTTATAGGGCTCAAATGCATCTTCAGGCAGCAGAGAACCAAGAAGCATTGCAGAGGCTTCCTTCACTGGAGGAAGAGCTCGCTCCTTTGGTAGGCAGGGTCCTAGGAGAGGCCATCTCAGTGCTCACTTTTCACCATATTTCAGTCCCCTTTTCCTCCTGTTTAAAACTGCCTCCTTAGATGTGGATGCCTTAATGCTTTAACACATTTGAAAACATTGGCGATACTTAAGCTGCTGCCATGATTACAAATGGAATTATTGGCAACCAAAGAGATGCAATTGATGATGAAAAGCATAGTCCATCCTTCCTCGTAACCAAAGTCAATCTTAATGCAATTTGAGTCCCTATCCTTAGTAGGGATAGACTTTCTTCAGATTCCAAGTGCTCTCTTAAGTGGCAAATTAGGTTGAAAAACACTAATTCCCCTCACTTGGCCTCCAGTTACTTGCTCAATTCCAATATCACCAAAGCAGTGATGTGCCAGGTTTGAATCGGTTTTTCTGTGAATTCTGTTGTCAGATTATTATTTTTTTTTTTTTAAGGCAGAGGTTCTGCACTGGAACATAGGAAGTTGGAAGCAGTACTACCTACAGAGGCTGTGTATTCTCTCCTCACCCTTCACTTTTTTCCCCCCCAATTCAAAACAGCCAAGTTAGCCTGTTCTAGTATTTTGAATCATTAGAGAAAAGAAAGGGAATGGCTGTTTTGAGGTGTCATTTCTTGTAGAAAGGATAAAGTGTAATTGTGGTTTTTTTTTTGTTTTTTTTTGTTTTTAACCAGCCTATTTCTAAGTGTCACTGCCTGGTTTTCCTCTTTTTCAATAGAACTAGGAGGACACACCAGCATTGTTTATTAATCCCCTGACACTTGGTAGCTAGGTACTGAACATGGGAACTGTATGCTAATAGCACAAGCCCCCACTGTGGCAGAACGCTCCTGCCTCTTGGTCCCTGAGCTCTTTGGGAGACTGAGAATAATAATCACATCCATTTCAAACTGCTGCAAAGTAAGATGAGAGCCCTTGGTAGTTGCTCTACAAGGGACCCTTCCTTGCATCAGAAAATTTGTTCAGTACAGAATGGTCCACATCTCCCTAAGAGTGCTCTTGGAGATGCTATGAAATTAAAACCAATGATGTAACCTCTTTGTACCTGAGATATCTCAGAATCACCTCAGGAGCTCTGAAAAAGACTTGTGACTTGTGGGAAAAGACTAGCCAACCACTTAGGAATTCTCTAGATATGCTTAGCCTAACACAGTTGCTTAACACAGGGAGATTGGCTTTGATTTTTGTCTGGTAGCATCTTCTGCAAGCTGGAAGTCTCATGGGATAACACTGCAGTTCCCCTGGTTCGGTGGCCTAAACAGAGATTTTAAATATCCCTTTTTCTGGATCCTTTGTACACATGAAATCATTCCATGGATGGCTGCCTTATAATTTTGTCTCTTTCCATTTTAATTGTGAATGGTTTTTAAAAAAAATGCTGTTTTCTGGTTTGTTTATGATATTAAATTTTTATTAGTGCATACCTTATGTGAATGGCTCATTACTTACCTGACAACAGCGTTTCTGTTTGACAGCCAGGCTTGATTTGAACATCAAAAAAGTAATGAAAAGCTATGAAGGACAGTGGAAAGATCTATCTACTGTATGCACATCCTCTAGGCAAGGTGGGAGGTGGGTAGGGATGCAGTATACCACCTGCTCCAAAAGGCACAGCTTCACTGATGCAGTGTTTTGCCTTCTGCCATTGTTAGCAAATGTGATTTATGAAGATAGCTCTCTACTCCCAGAAAAGAGAAGCAAGAACACATGAAGT